CCCGCACCGCACACATTTTTGCTTCTCAAGCTTTTATTTTTGCACGTTTTACACGTTCTGTAATGGCTGCATGCGGGTAACGGAAGCAAGACATGTGCGTAACGGTCCCTTGGATTCAGTGGGGGTTACACTTCTCCTCACTTATATAAGCAGGCTTGGAGCTCATTCAGAATCACACCAACGAAGAGAAGAACTTCTAAGCTCTCTTCTTTCTCTACTCTCATTTCTCCAAGAAATTTTGGCTACATATTTATATTCATATTTTGGGCAACCGTTTTCGTCTGAGCATAAGCTTTGTGACTCACGCCCGAGTGCAGAGGCCGGCCGATTCCGGGGGTTTTTACCGTTAGGGAAGAGGGGACAAATTACGCCAGGGCGATAGGCGGGTCCTTAATCTTCTAGGGCAGTGACATCATGACTGCTCCCGATCAGGCCTGAATTTTCTAACTCTTTAATTTGGATTTTATATTATTATATTCCTGTTTTGACAGAAGTCTAGAAGATTAAGTAAAATTTCTTGCTGTTAATTTAAATAAAAAATTTTTTTAAAAAAAATTACTGTTCATCGGGATTACTGTTCACCCGAATCTTCATTACTTGTTGTATTAGTTAATTGTTTTAATTTGTTGCATCTAAATCAGTATCTGTCAAAAACAAAAAATCTTTAAGTGAACCGGTTCAAGTTTTCTTGGATTAGTTGGTGTCTAAGGCAATGTTTAAGGGTTGTGTAAAGCGCTCTACAAGAAACGATGTACTTAATAGATCTTTAATCAACCTCTAGTACTATCCTTACCTGGCCAAACTACCCGAGTAAAACTTTAGTCTTTTCACTTTTAGAGTTTTTGGTTAAGAGCAGGTTTAATTAAGTTTTTGGTCTAGTAGTATTGACAAAATCCTTTATTCGATCAGATTACATCTACCTAGACTAGTAAACTCAAATTAGACTTATGGCAATTCCTGATCATTCAAAAAGTGTCAAACCTGAGAAGTTCACCGGTGTTAACTATAAACGGTGGGCTAATCAGATGAAATACTGGCTCACTACCTTAGGTCTTTTATCTGCTATTGACACTTCTGAGTCATCTACTAGTAGTTCTCAACCTTTGACTCCTGATCCTGCTCATCCTGCTCCTTCCATTTCTGGTTCTGGTGCTAGCTCCTTTTCTAGCTCTATGAAACCAGAAGAAATCAACTATCATTGTTGTCATAGGATTCTTAGTGCACTTGCAGACAACCTTTATGACATATATTATGAGTTCAAAAGTGCAAAAGAACTATGGAATGCTCTTGAAGCAGAATATGGCTATGATGATGCCGGAATTCTGCGTTTCACCTCCTCCTCCTTCAATAAGTTCATGATGGTTGATGACAAGCCCATTAATGAACAAATTCATGAATTCCTAGATTTCCTTCGTCATCTCCTATCAAAAGGAAATATTTTTACTGACGATTATAAAGTTTCCTGTTTGATTGATAAACTTCCTCCCTCCTGGTCTAGATTTGCTGGAGATCTCCGACACAAGCAATGAGATCTAACCTTAACTGAAGCCCTCAAGGCTATTCGTATTGAAGACCAGCATAGGCAAAATTCCAATACCAAGAATGAAACAAAAGCTAAAGTAAACTTGGTAGAGGATAAGCCTAAATCTAAGAATTTCAAACCCAAAGGGAAGAAATTCAAGAAAAATCAACAATCTTTCAACAAATCTTTCAACAAATCCTCCTTCAAACCAAATCCCAATTCTTCCAGCCATAAGTCTGATGAGAAGTTCTGCTTTGTCTGTGGTAGAACCAACCACATGGCTCACAACTGTTTCTTTCGGAAGAAGGAACCGGCCAAACCTGCCCCTAAAGGAAATGGATCCAACAAAGTTAATATGATTGAAATGAATCCAACCTCCTTCAGGTTAGCCTCTTCATCTCATCTTGTAAATTCTCTAACTTCTTCCACTGATTGGTATTTGGATTCCGGAGCAAATATCCACGTCTGTAATGACCGCTCTTGGTTTTCAAATTATCAGGAATCACGTGGAGGAAGCATAAGCTTAGCAGATGACTCCACTAAATCAATAATAGGAAGTGGACGTATAGAGCTCACCATGACTTCTGGGAAAGTTCTTCATCTGCAAGGCGTTTATCATGTTCCTTCTCTCCGTCGCAATCTGATTAGTGAATCTCTTCTTCTTAGAGCTGGTTATAGGATTGTAAAAGAATCCAATAAATTTGTGATTACAAAGAGTAATGTTTTCATAGGGAAAGGTTTTATCTGTAATGGCCTTTTCAAACTCAATGTAATCAATTCCAGTTCTAATGAAATTTCTGAGTCTTCTGTTATTCAAATTGTTGAGCCTTGTGATGTTTGGCATGGACAACTTGGACATGTCAATTTCCAAACCTTGCAGAGAATGAGTAAATTAAACCTCATTCCTAAATCTTCTCATGATCCCTCATCTAAATGTGAAATCTGTGTTCAAGGGAAACACACTAAAAAACCCTTCAAGTCTATAACTAGAAACTCCGAACCCCTCGAATTAATTCACAGTGATGTGTGTGACTCAAACCGAGTTCTCACCCGAGGGGGTAGGAGGTATTTTGTGATTTTTATAGACGATCACTCCAGATATTGTTACACCTATCTTCTCAAAACTAAAGATGAAGTCTTAGATAGGTTTAAGGTGTTCAAAGCTAAATCTGAGAACCAACTTGACAGGAAGATCAAGATTCTAAGATCTGATCGGGGGGGGGGGGGGGAAACCCAAACAATGACTGAATATTGCCAAGAACACGGTATTATTCATGAGGTTACTGCTCCCTATACACCACAGTCTAACGGGGTAGCTGAACGAAAGAATAAAACCCTAATGGACATGGTGAACTGTATGTTACTCAGTTCAGGAGCACCTAAAAATCTCTGGGGTGAAGCTCTTCTTTCTACTTGCTTCATTCTCAATAGGATTCCCCAGAAAAATTCTGATACAACTCCTTATGAATATTGGAAGGGGAGATCTCCTAATCTGAATTTTCTCCGGGTTTGGGGTTGCTTGGCTAAAGTAGCTATTCCCGCACCTAAGAAGAGAAAAATTGGTTCTAAGACTGTAGATGCTGCTTTTATTGGATATGTACTAGATAGCAATGTTAACAGATTTTTAGTCATCAAATCTAAAATCAGTGACATATCCAACAATACCATCATTGAAGCAAGAGATGCAGTCTACTTTGAAAACATCTTTCCTTTCAAATCTAAAATCTCAGAAAATCCCAGATCATCTCTTCCTTCTGATCTACCATCTTCCAGTTCTTCTCAACCTTTTGATATTGAACCTCGAAGAAGCAAAAGAGGTAGAATCGAAAAGGATTTTGGAGAAGACTTCCTAACCTTTCTTGTTGAAGGTGATCCAAGCTCATTCCAAGAAGCAATGGATTCATCTGAATCTCCTTTCTGGAAAGAAGCCATTGGTAATGAAATTAAATCTATCATGGAAAACCATACTTGGATACTCACTGACTTACCTCCAGGTTGTAAACCTATTGGTTGTAAGTGGATATTCAAGAAGAAACTCAGAGCTGATGGTTCCATTGATAAATTTAAAGCTAGATTAGTAGCTAAAGGCTATACTCAACAAAAGGGCATTGATTATTTTGATACCTATTCTCCTATAGCCCGAATCTTAACTATCCGAGTATTATTAGCCTTTGCTGCTATCCATAAGCTAATCATACATCAGATGGATGTCAAGCCTACTTTCCTGAATGGTGATTTAGATGAAGAGATCTATATGCACCAACCTGAAGGCCTCATTGCCAAGAGTCAGGAAAACAAAGTCTGTAAGCTTGTTAAATCTTTGTATGGTCTTAAACAAGCTCCTAAACAATGGCACCAGAAATTTGACAACGTCATTGCACAATATGGCTTCACTGTGAATGAACACGATAAATGTGTCTATTCTAAAGTGATAAACAATGACTATGTCATTCTCTGTCTCTATGTTGATGATATCCTTATCTTTGGAACAACACTTGAATTAATTTCAAAGGTTAAGGATTATCTTTCCAAAAACTTTGATATGAAAGACTTAGGTTTTGCAGACATGATACTTGGAATGAAAATCTCTAGAGACACTAGAGGAATATCTTTGAGTCTTTTCCATAGCATTGATAAAATACCAATCAAATTCAACTTTCATAACTCTAAACCTATTTCCACACCTTATGATTCTTCTATATCATTGAAGAAGAATGAAGGTGATTCTGTCTCCCAGCTGAGGTATTCTCAGCTGATTGGATCTCTTCTTTACATATCCAACCGAACCAGACCCGATATAGCTTATGCTGTAGGGAGACTGAGTTGGTATACTAGCAATCCTAGCAAAGATTATTAGACTGTCTTAGAAAGAGTATTCAAATATCTGAAATGCACAATTGACTATTGCTTGACTTATACTGGTTACCCTAATGCTATAGAAGGGTATAGTGACGCCAACTGGGTCACGGATTCGAATAGTATAAAGTCTACATCTGGATATGTATTTCTTTTTGGTGGTGCTGCTGTATCTTGGAAATCATGTAAGCAAACAGTAATTGCCAGGAGCACCATGGAATCTGAGCTGATTGCTCTTGATACTACTTGCACAGAAGCCGAATGGTTAAAAGATCTTCTCTCTGAACTTTCTTTGGTCCCTAAACCCTCTCCTCCTATTTCCATTCACTCTGATTCTAGATCTACCATAGAGTTTCTAAAGCAAGTACATATAAATAAAAAACATAACAGACATATTCAAATAAGATACAAGTCTGTACAACGCCTGTTAGGCAAAGTTGTGAT